GCGGCGTGGTACGAGGGTCGGTAGGTACTCTCGTAGCCAGCGTTTCCAGAAGGCGTCGGCTAGTGCTTGCGTCGCCCTCCAAGTCCTGCGGTCGCCCTCTTCACATGGCCCGGTGTATGGAAGGCCGGTCGATGACCCCAACAAGAAGTGGTTTGGGGTTAGCGCCTCCGGATCGCTTGGGTCTACGGAGACATGCGTCAATGGTCGTGAATTGACAGCATGTTCCGCCTCGGCCAGTAGAGTGTGCAGGACTTCCTCCTTCGGTGCTCGTTCCTTTAATGTTGCGTTGAGCGCGGTTTTCACGGAGCGAACCATGCGTTCCCAGGCTCCGCCTTGGTTAGGTGCTCCCGGCGCGATGAATTTCCATGTGGCATCGTAGTTCATCGCCTCTCTCTTCAGCTCGGGAAGCCACTCGGTGTACGCCTTCTTGAGCTCGGTGACAGCCCCTCGGAAGTTGGTGCCGTTGTCGCTGTATATTACGGCGGGCCATCCTCGTCGTGCTGCCATTCTTCGTAGTGCCGCTTGAAATTCCAGGCGCGGTACGGTTTGGGTCTTCAAGGGCGCGACCTTAGCTCTTGCCGCTATCAGGACTGTCTCGATGACATGGCCGGGTCCGTAGTGCAACCTCCAATACGCCGCCGTTGCGTAGGCCTCTTCGCTGGCGTCACAGAATATTTGAAGTTCACGGCGACGCACTTCTCTCCCCCCGTTGTAACTACGGGGTAGCCGTAGTTGGTCGATTGCTGGCAGGCTTGTCAACCATGCATCGAAGTCCTCGCTCAAGTCGGATGGTAGAGGGTCGTCCCAGCCGGTCTTGAGGCGCCAGAGTTTTTGAAGAGTTATCTTCGCTGTGATTGTGAAGCAGCTGAGCAGTCCGAGCGGATCGTATATGCTCATCACCGTCGATAATGCTTCTCTTTTCGTCGGCGGGCGTTGTCGAGACTTCACTGGCAGTGGGACTCTAGGCAGAGCGGTGTTGAAGCCCAGCCGATCGGTATTTGCATCCCAAAGCAGGCCCAATGTTTTCTCTGTGTCTCCAAACGTCGTCGTCCCGCCTTTGGCTCTACTATCCGGGTTCACGGCTTGTAGTAGCTTCCTATTGTTACTGTTCCATCCCCTCAGGTGGAATCCAGCCTTCTGGTGCACTGCGTCGACTTGGGTGATGACTTCGTGGGCCTCTCTCGGATCATTGAAGCTGTCGACGAAGTCATCCATGTAGTGCGCTTCGGTGATTGCGCGCAGTGCTGCAGGGTGTGTCTCAGCATGCTGTCTCGCGTTGTGGTCCCTCACGCTGTGTGCGAGGAACGGTGAACTCGATGCGCCGAAGATCATCGACGTCATCTTCAGCTTGCGCGGTGGTTCATTCTGCCTGCAGTCGCGCCACAGGAACATCTGTGCGGGTTGGTCCTCGCGGCGTATCTTGATCCGCAGGAACATTTCCTCGATGTCAGCTGTCACCGCGTATGCGCCCTCTCGGAACCGGAATAAAATGGTCTGCAGCGATCGTAGCAGATCCGGCCCTTCGAGTAGGTGATCGTTCAGGCTGACACCTCGAATTCTTGCTGCTGCGTCGAAAACCAGTCGCAGCTTCCCGGGCTTATTGGGATTCTTGACGGCGAAATGCGGCAGGTACCATGCAACGGGGCTTGCGTCCTCGGAGCCGTCGCAGGGTTCGGCGTATCCTTTTTCTAGTAGGTTGTCGATCCTCCGCTGGTATTCCTTCATGTCGCGTGGATCTTTCTTCAGCTTGTTCTCCAGATTTGTGAGCCGGCGGAGTGCTGAGTCGTAACTCCGTGGCAGTTTGGCGTCGTCGTTTCGCCAAGGCAGGCCCACTTCGTATCTGCCGTCCTTGTGCTTCACGGTGCGTTCGAACGTGGAGACGGCACGCTTGTCCTCTTCGCGGACGTGTGATGCGTCGAGCGACACTCCGAGTGAGTCGATCCGGAAGTGTCTCGACACGAGTTCCTCGAGTCGGTCGTCTGATGCTTCGGTCGTGACGACATGTAGGATATCCTCGGTGCGGCGAAGCGATCTCGATGGCGCCGTCCCGTGGATTACCCATCCGAGTTCGGTTTTGGAGGCAGCTGGTTCTTTGGTTTTTCCTGACCGTAGTTCGCGGGTCACTATGAGCTCCCAGTTGTCCGTCCCGATCAAAATGCGAGGCTTCGCATTCTTGTATACGACTTCTCGCTCGTCGAGATCTCTTAGGTGTCGTAGCTTCATCGCCTCCGCCGGTATCGATTGCGGCGTGAGGTCCAGGCCCACCATGGTGCGAGCGTTGATTTTGAAGATCTGGTCACTGCGCGTTCCTTTTATTCCAATCTTCACTCGACGGCTCTGCACGTGACTTTGCTTCTTGTTAATTCCTCGGACGTTGAGCTGTGCGGTCGGTCCGTCGGCGCCGATCTGTCGCGCCAGGTCGTCGTCTAATAAGGTGACCGTCGAGCCTTCGTCGAAGAGCGCGTAGGTGTCGCAGCTCCCACGTTTGCCCGTGATTGTCACGGGGCAAATCTTCAATTTGACGGCGCGGCTTGTCGTCGTGGCAGCCGTCGTCGTTTCGGTGGTGGCTGGTTCCGTTGCGGCCGCGTTTGAGTCGGTCGCGCTCGTAGCCACGTCGTTCGTCGTTCCACGCTCATCTGCGTGCAACAGTCGGTGATGCGGTCGCTTGCATCCGTTGATTCCGCAGAGCTTCTGTCGGCAGTTCAATCGACGGTGCCGGCCCACGATGCATTTGAAGCAAAGCCCCTCCTTCTTCACCAGCTCCCATCGGTCATCATACGTTAGCTGCTTGAATTTTGGGCAGCTAGGTAGTGTGTGGGCTTCCTGGCATGAAAGGCATCTGCGCTGCGGTGCTTCTTCGGTGGCGACGTACACCGTCTTCTTCTTAGCCTCCGGTCTGGGGGCGGGGCGAGGCGTTTCACGTGTTCGTTGCGATGTGGAGGGTGCGGTGAGGTTCGATACATAGTTGTATCGCATGCAGCGGTCAGCTTCTTTCATCAGGAACGATGAAAGTTTGAGTAGATCGGCGTTCGGGCCCGGCTGTGACTCGGCGAAGTTGCACCAACTCGATACAAGGTAACTTGGCATCTTGTCTAAGACTTCCCGGGTCAGCAGTGGGTTAAGCAGGTACTCTGGCTGCACGTTCCTCAGGACGGCCACGATGTTCTGTAGCTTTACCGCAAACATGTTAAGATCGTTCGCGGTAGGTCCAATCTTCGGCAGCTTCCGTAGATCGGCGAAAGCCATGTCCACTAGTCTTTCTGGCCTTCCGTAGCATTGCTCCAATGTTCGCATGATCTCGTCGGGGTGCGTCGCGGTGCTCAACAATGATGCGACGTTTTCCCGAGCTTCTCCACGTAGGCAGTTTCTTAGTCTTGCCATATTCTCTGTAGGTGTGAATTCGTACAGCCGCGTTGTTTCTCGCATCGCAGTCGCGAACTGTAGCCATTCCAGCGGTGAACCAGAGAATATCGGTAGATCCGATGCTTGACGCGGCGGCGGTCGTGACTTCACGAGAGTTTCGAGGACAGAGGCGAGTTGATCGATGCCTCTGCCTCGCGATGACGACCGTCTTCGTTCTTCCCTATCTGGGCGTCGCGTGTCGCGTTCAGGTGGCGGTTCAGCCACGGCGGTCCTTGAGAGCTCCCCCCGTTGTTGGTCGACGTTCGCGTCGTCGAGCCACTCGAACACTCGATCTTGTAATTTATTTGCCGGTTCTTCAGCTTCGGGTTCGCTCTCTGCTCCGTCTAGCGTTTCTAACTCGATATTGAGCGTCTTTTTTATGAGGTCCGCTTCAATTTCGAGTTCTCGGCGTCTTATGGCAGCCAGTCGTTCTTCTGCTTCGATGCGTAGCTTCCGGCGTGCCGCGTTGCTCGCTGCCGAGCGGGTCGAACGCGCGACGTGCACTCTCTTCGCCGGTTGCACCGATGACGTCATCGCAGATGTCGTTATTCCAGTAGTCGCCGCTGTGTCCGTTGGGTGTGCTGCGCGTTCGTCCGCTCCGCTCGGCGGCTGCGTAGTCACTGCCAAGGCGACGCGTGCTCCGGCAACGTCTGCCCCAGCGCGGTTCGCGTTAGGCGCTAGTTGCGAGACTTGCGGTGCGGTGCGTAGGCTCTCCCCGGCGTTGCCCGTCTCGAGGCGTCCTCGTACGGTCGGTGTACTTGAGGGCGATCTCGGCGGCTGGTCGAAGACACGACGTTGGTTTTCTTCGTCTTGGCTTCTTGTAAGCACCATCTTGATTCACTGTTTGCTGGATCTCGGAGGTTCTATACGTGTTTAGATCCGGCTCGAAGGACCAAAACTATTGAGGGTGCTGATCCGGCTCTATGGACCAAACTGTAGACGATGCTGTATAACTGTTGATGATGGTGCAAAACAAAGACGGATTTCTTCTATAGGCGATTTATTGTATTTTCTTCTTACTGGCTACTTATTACTGCTTGACTATACTGCTTGACTGACTTGACTTGACTACAAATATTTACAAATTTGGCCCTACCCTTATTCTACACTTAACATCTAACTTAGCTACTAGTGACGCGCGGTGGCCGACCAATCACAGCGCGTTTTGCGCCCGCGCGCCGGGTGGGGGAATCGCCCCCACCGTGCGGACGGCGCATACGCAGCCAATGGGCTCCCTGAGAATTCCGCAAATGTAGGCGCTGTGATTGGTCGTTCGATCTGTACATTTTTCGGCACGTGGCTGTCGTCAACAGTAGTACAGTTCAACCATACATCATTGTCGTTGGTGCACTAGAAAAAATCACCGGAAGGTATGTTATCGTTGATAACTTGACATACGAAATGCCTGACACATGTAGTGCAGTAGATACTTGCTTTAAAATTATATGGGCATTGAACCTGAAATATGCAGATGAATGCTTGCCAGTTTGGCAGTTTTTGCAAAGAGCTCTGTATGACATTCCTAAAGATTTAAAAGAAAAACTGCCTGTATCAGTTTATGCTTTATTGAACGATTGTGACATAAAAAGTAAATAAAAATGGTTTCTTGTTTTTTGTGTGCTACTGAGGTTTCAAATTTTAAAGCTCTGCGAGTTCATTTCCAATTTTTCCATAAATATCATTCCTTTGAACAATATAGGTGCACAGAAAATGGCTGTTCTAGGTCATACCACCTTTTTAATTCATATCGGCGGCATTATTTGAGAGAGCACTTAACGGAAGAATTAGGCATAATTGAAAATGAAGGGTCTCTTGTAACAAATATCAGTTCACAACTTCATGAAGATAATTCTTTAACAAATACTGAAACGCCACTTGAAACTGATTTTTCATCTCATGTAGCGTTGCATGAATCAGTAGGTGTAGCGCCGAACGTTGCAAATTCTTCAAGTAGTCTTACATTTGAAACAGCTTTGGCATCATTGATAGCGGCCTTGTATGGATCTGCAAATTTCCCTAGAAATATTATTCAAATTGTTCTTGAAAATCTTCAAAACATTATATCACATTCTGTGGTTCCATTATTGCGTGAGGCATTGCAAAATATGGTTAATAAAAGTAGCATTGTTTCTAATCATTCCGTTTTAGAAGTAGTTCAAACAGTAATTAACACAGTAAATTCTGGATTAAACAAATTTTCATCAGAACATCGTAGACTTAATTATTTTCAGCGTTGCCAGACTTACATACCTCCACAATCAATTGTAGTAGGTGAAAGACAAGAGCCAAATACTGTAAACGATAGGGATGTTTTTTCGTCAGTTACTCGTAGTATGCAGTTTATTCCGCTAAGAAAAGTCCTGCATGCATTTTTTTCACTCGAGTCACTCTTGGCTGATACATTACAGCACATGGAAAATCTTTATAGTAATATCACAAGAATACAGAATTTTATTCAAGGGAATTACTGGCAATCAAAAAGAACAGGTAACGCTGGAAGAATCGTTGTGCCTTTATTCATATTTTTTGATGACTATGAAACCTCGAATGCCTTGGGCAGTCACTCGGGGATTCATAAATTAGGCGCTTTATATGTTTCAATACCTTGTTTACCACCTTGGCGTTGCTCTGCTCTTTCTAACATATTTTTAACCTTATTGTTCCATTCTTCTGATAGATCGGAATTCGGCAATAACGTAATATTCATGCCTGTAATAGATGAACTGAATTATCTCAGTACCTCTGGTATCAATTTTGATTTACCCGATTTTAATGGAACGGTGTACTTTGAATTAGCGCTTATTCTCGGTGATAATTTGGGCATTCATTCAATTATTGGTTTTGTTGAAAGTTTTTCCGCTAACTATCCTTGCAGGATTTGTAGAGTAAGAAAGGAAGACATCAAACTTCAGGTCTGTGAAAATAGCACAACTTTAAGATGTAACAATGATTATGACGCAGATATCATGGAAGATATTCCTGGAAACTCTGGTGTTAAGGAAAAATGTGTCTGGTTAAAAGTAAGCGGATTTGATTTATTCAAACAAGTTGGTGTCGATGTCATGCACGACATTCTTGAAGGCGTCGGTAAATATGTTATGGGTCTTGTACTTCTAAAGTATATTAGTCGTTTTAAATATTTTTCTCTGGAATTGTTGAATAACAGGCTACGTAGTTTTGCATATGGACCTGATAACCGTAATAAGCTTGTTGAATTAAGTATGGCGCACATAAATCAGTGTAATATTCGTCTAAGTGCGTCAGAAATGTTAACTTTTATAAGATACTTTTCTATTTTAGTGGGTGATAAGGTTCCTGGAGGTGACAGTTATTGGACACTTTACTTAAAATTAAGGGAAGTTTTAGAACTTACAATGGCTACAACTGTTTGGAATGGTCTTGATACTGTGTTGAAGGATTGTGTGACGGAACTTAATGAATTGTATTTGCTTCTTTCAAATGAATCTCTTAAACCTAAATTTCACCACCTCACTCACTATCATAGCATGATGACTAATTTTGGCCCGCTTTCGTTGATTTCTTCTATGAGATACGAAGCAAAACACAAGTTGTCGAAAACTTCTGCAAGAGCTTCGTGTAACCGTAGGAATATCTCGTTAAGCTTAGCTGTCAAACATCAACTCAAATTAAATGAAATATTTTCTAAAGGTACGCTTGATCCTATTCTAACCTGGGGTCCAAAAAAATTAAAGCCAATACCTTCTGATTTAGATCTTATTCAATCTTCTCTTCAATTAGACGATAAAATGTCTTTATTCCGTGTCCGTTGGGTTGCCATGACCTCCGTTCGATATAATAAAGGTTCTGTACTAGTATGTGGCCCTAAACCAATCTGCGATCGCAACGACATCAATTTCTTGATGGTTGACAATATCTACATTTATGATGATATGGAGGTTATTTTAACAGGGACTATGCTACACACTGTTCTTTTTGATTGTCATTATTATGCGTATGAATTAGAGCATAAATCACAAGAAACGGTCGCTATTTGGTACAAGACCCTTGATTTTCAGACACCTCATGCTTTAAACACAATTTTTTCGCCTCATAAAAAGTTGTTGATCACATTGCGTAGCCCTATTTAAAGAGGTTGTTTTTGAGCGCTTTTTTAAAACAAATGAAGTTTCAAGTAAAGTTCTTAATAGTATAGGTAGATGAATCAGTAAACTATTTAATTTCACAACGTCTGCATAGGCATCTTCTTTTAGACCGTAGTTAAACTTAAAAGCGTTGATTAATTTTACTGCGCACTCTATTGCCATTTTTGTTGTCAACGGCGTTGTTTAGGGGTCAAATTCCCGGCTCGTTGGGTGTTAATTTAGTATTGCAGAGTTTTTTCTTAAGTGACTACCATTTATAAACTGGATTTGCTGTGACCCCTTCAGAGTCATTTTGAAGTAAGTCATCTCGAAGATGCCCCCAATTTTACTTAAGAGCGTTGATACATTACGCAGCACCACAAGCTCCGTCTTTGGAACAAATGTTTCTCTATCAAAGTTATTTAAAATAGTTAAATAAAAATTAATCTTTAATATAAAATCATTAAACGTAACAATTTTGATGTTGATAAGCAGATGATTAGGAAAGCTGCAGTACAAGACATAAGCGGAAACTACAGGCTTGTTTTTTTTTTGTTAGGAATTACAAATCTTTGCAAAATTGCAAAGAGTGCAGAATAGTTTTGGAACAAATCAAACCCATATTACTTTGTCTCAAAACAGTTTGAATGTCCTTGTACAGAACAAAGAACATTTTGAAATACGAATTATTTTAAATACGCCTCAAAAGAGTTCATTGTATCCGTAGATAAATGTTCTACCTTCATGAATACCATACTAACTGAAGAGAAGTGAAAAAAATTTATAAAAGTGAATTATATCAATTCCAGTGTATTTTAAACCTGTATTAATAGATATTATATTTTAAGAAATAGTAATTTTCTGAAGTTTCTTTTCTTTCAGCACTAAGCAAAAAAGTTTAGATTTAAATAAATCAGTAAATAAGTAATCAGTTAACTGGTATAGGTATTTCTTTAACAGGTTCAGTAAAGGTAAACACACGTTGTATAGGCTGAATGGCTAATTGATATTTAGCCCATACAAATTTACCTTTACTGAATCTGTAAAAGGCTTTCAACAAAATTTTAAATTGATATTAATTTTGTTAAAGAGTATTTTTTGTATTGTGAATGTTCGAATATTCACTGTAAGAACATGTGTCTTCTATTGAAAAAATATGTATATATATCTCTGTGATGCTGTTACCTTTAGATCAGGGTCATCCTATTGTAGGTATCTGCTGTAATTTTTAATGCAACTAACCAGTATATAGTTACTTTTGTAATTTTCAATAATGAAGCAATTTGGGAAGTCATTATTACATTGAAACTTATAAATTCATGTTCATAATCTACACCTACCTATATATAGACCAGTGCCAATAATTTTTGAAATATAAAAAAATAGTAACAGAATGAAACCCATTGCAAAAGAAAGGTAATATAACAAATATAATAGGAAAAATAATTTACGGGCGATTTGAGTTCGGGATGGGGTTTAGGGGTAGGCTTTTAAGGGTAAAAAATAGTTTATCGCAATTTTCGAAAAAAGTACAAGTCCTATGAACAAAACTTAAATGGCGAAGTTGTAGGTAATATGAAATCTACCTTTTTGTATGTGCATTTTTTTCAAAAATCTCAATTTTTTTTCAAAAAAATTCAAATAACTGAGTTTTGGTTTTTTATTTTTATCTTTCACATATGAAATCATTTTTTCACAAAATTTGGCAAAAACTTACCTTTTCATGTCCCAAACATTCTGTAATTTTTTTGTCAAAATAATTAAATATTCCTCCTTTTTTTAATTTCATTGCAAAATACCCTAATTTTCAATTAAAAATTCACACGTCAAAATTTCTGTTTTTTCCACCCCCAACCCCTTCCCGAACTCAAATCGCCCGTTAATTATTTTTCCTATTATATTTGTTATATTACCTTCCTTTTGCAATGGGTTTCATCCTGTTACTATTTTTTTGTATTTTTGATCATTTTCAGAGCTATCTGCACTGGTCTAATAGTGTATGAAAAAATTGTATAATTATTAATAATTTTGAGAGCCAAAAAATCAACCAGAAAATAATGTTATACAATTACTTAGGATAGAATTATAATTCCTATAATTCATCCTTTTTTTCTGTACGCCTAAGGTTACTAGGCTACAGGCAACAGGTATTATAATTTACTACTTACATTTTGTCGGATAGTCCTCATTTGCAGGCATCAGTTAGTATGTAAAGGCGTTAATAGCTGCCAACTAGTGCTTCACCAAAATGGCCGTGTTTAGCACGTTGGACAATAATTGTAATAAAAGCGAACAATATTTTATTTAATAAACTATTTACGTCAAAATAAGCTGTAAAACTAAATAAAAACTACTTGTTTACAGATTTTCGATATATTTTTTTTGTGATGGCGGCGCTAGTTGGCGGCTATTAACGCCTATTAGCTCTCGTTAAGTAAGGAATTTCAACATTTACTAAAAATTTTTTTCAGAAATATCTTCAACTAATTTTTATGTTCGATTATGTTAACATTTTACATTATGTGAGAATAAGCTTCAGATTTTGAAGGTAATGTGAATCTTTAAGTTTATCAAATAAAAAATATGTGCACTGCCGAAATTAAGGTTTTATTTATTGTTCAAGCTTTGTGCAGGTATTTAACTTTCAGCGATGCAGTACTTAATACGGTTGAAGAACTGTAATAACTACTTATACAACGGTAGCTGGTACTGTTGGTTGAACAGTACCTTCTATTGGATAAGTAGCAGTTGCTCTTTCTCAACTGTAGAACTAACATATCCGTGCAGTACCCACTGCTGGTGAGAAACAGTAATTGTTATACTGTTCCTCATAGTAGCAGTATCTGGCAGTTCAGAAGCTACGTTGTGAATTCCAACGCCACTTACTAAAATATTCGCTGTTAATACAATTTATCAAAATCTCGTTGTACCTATAAAATTTTTGTGTTTGTGCTATTTTTATTGAGATTCTTTTTAAGAAAATACAACGGAAACACAATAATCGTATGCAATTAGATTTTGGATATATTTTGTTTACAGCGAATAATATTTTGGTAAGTGGCGCTGGGGCTCATAACTGCCAGATACTACTACTATGAGGAACAGTAGCAATTACTGTTTCTCATCAGTAGTGGGTACTGCGCGGATAGGTACAGTTGAGAAACAGTAACTCATACTTATCCAACAGTAGTAGATACTGTTCAACAAACAATACCAGCTACTGTTGTATTAGTAGTTACTTCGTTTCTCAACAGTATTGGGTACTGCGTGAAAGGGTTATTAATACTATTGAAAACAGTTCCAGCTACTGTTTTCAATATTAGTAATAACCTATTCATACAGTACCCCTTACTTTAGAGAACCAGTAGTAACTACTTCTACAACAGTAGCTGAGAATGTTCTCAACAGTTGCAATAACCTATTCATACAGTACCCCTTACTTTAGAGAACCAGTAGTAACTACTTCTACAACAGTAGCTGAGAATGTTCTCAACAGTTGCAATAACCTATTCATTCAGTACCCCTTACTTTAGAGAACCAGTAGTAACTACTTCTACAACAGTAGCTGAGAATGTTCTCAACAGTTGCAATAACCTATTCATTCAGTACCCCTTACTTAAGAGAACCAGTAGTAACTACTTCTATAACAGTAGCTGGCAATGTTCTCAACAGTTGCAATAACCTATTCATTCAGTACCCCTTACTTTAGAGAACCAGAAGTAACTACTTCTACAACAGTGGCTGGCAATGTTCTCAACAGTTGCAATAACCTATTCATTCAGTACCCCTTACTTTAGAGAACCAGTAGTAACTATTTCTACAACAGTAGCTGGGAATGTTCTCAACAGTTGCAATAACCTATTCATTCAGTACCCCTTACTTTAGAGAACCAGTAGTAACTACTTCTATAACTGTAGCTGGGAATGTTCTCAACAGTTGCAATAACCTATTCATTCAGTACCCCTTACTTTAGAGAACCAGTAGTAACTAATTCTATAACAGTAGCTGGCAATGTTCTCAACAGTTGCAATAACCTTTTCACACAGTACCCCTTACTATAGTGAAACAGTAGTAACTACTTATACAACATTAGGTGGCAATGTTTTAAGAAGTAATAACTACTTTTTCACACAGTACCACTTACTTAAGAGAAACTGTAATAACTACTTTAAAAACGGTAGCGGGCAGTTTTCAACAGTTATAATAATGTTTGCATGCAGTAATTGCTAATAAGAAGACGCAGTTGTAACTACTCACAAAACAGTAGCAGGTACTGTTGCTAAACAGTAAAAGTCACCGCTTACCAATCGATAAGAGCTACTGATTCCTTTTACTGTTTCCTCTTACTGATGTTTTTTACTGTTTCCACTTACTGTTTTATTTTACTGTTTCCACTTACTGTTTTATTTTACTGTTTCCACTTACTGTTTTATTTTACTGTTTCCACTTACTGTTTTATTTTACTGTTTCCACTTACTGTTTTATTTTACTGTTTCACTTTACCGATCGAATTCGCTGAAACAGTTAAGGGTACTCAGTTAAATTAACCATTATAACCTTACTGTTTTCATTCGGTTAAAACAACTACTTGTTACAGTTCGCTCCATTTTAACTGCGCAAATCAATAAACTATAATGAAATTTCGGTATATTTTGCCGATTTTTTTTTTCAGTGTGTAGTTCTTCAATCGCTTCTACGGTAACATTTTGTAGGTAGCTTTTTGAGATAAAATTAAATCTTAAAAAGCTTATTTCTCTTTAAAATAACGATCTCAGTCTTAACCCTTCAAGATTGCCGGAGGACATTGCCGTTCCCTTGAGCTGACATCGGCCCACTTCTGTCAACACTTAAAGGACATCAACGGAATTTCGCCGAGCGAGGTTGGCCTACCTGGTAAAATCCATTACGAGTACTCTTCTGTCGGGTCATCTACGTTTAATGAAAATTAAGTTCCATTCGGTATATCTAAAAAAATTAGTTTTTTTGCCACATGATGCAATCAATGA